TCATATATTCATTTATTCAACAAATATTTCACATCTAATATGCCAAAGGGTTTGATGGGGAAGACACATAAGTAGCTAAGATGCAACAGATAGTTCTTGTCCTCAAGAAACAATTTAGAAGCAATCACAACATCTAGACAGCAAAGATAAAGATCATCCTGACTTCAAAGGCAGCTTATACTGTGAAAAAGAGTGTGCCATTGTACACTACCCACAACACTACTACTTGCTATGTCATCATCTTTTTAAATGAGACCTTCAGAGGGAAGAAATCTGCCAAGACGGACACTAAAGTCTATGAAAGCTATTTAGCAGTCTCTTTGATTCAATTCCTTTGGAGAAGGAAATGGCAATCTACTCCAGTATTCTTGCCTGGAGAATCCCATGGACATAGGAAACTGGCAGCCTACAGTTGATGGGATCACAATAGTTGGACACGACCTAGCGCTATCTTTCTTTCTTTCGATTCAATGACTTCCTGAAATTTTTAATGAGAAGAATATTTGCACATCTGTTCATATTCTTCTTTGACCTATCAAGTAATGAATAAACATCACAGGAATTCAGAGATACCACCATCTCTCATCATGTTATGAAGAGCATTAAAGCTGACTGCTAATTATGGCATCTCAGCATTCTCTATCACGGATAAAATCAGGCCATTCCTGTATATGTTTGGCACAAAGCCCTCTCAATCCTAAACTTCTGAAATCAATATAGGTTTTAAGTTAAAATGCAGCATAAAAGAAGTGTCTTTACTGGGAGGCAGAAACAGGAGAAAAGCTAATTAATTACAAGGCATTCAACTGGCTTGATTCCAAAGTCAACAGTTTAACATGATTAAGGGAAAAGGGATGACAGTGTAGAGTAGAGGAAAACAGTGAAGAAGTGTCTGTGTAATAGAGAAGACAAAAGAAACTACCAAAAGCCACCATCCCTAAACCCAATTTAAAACCAATGCAACCATTTCCTTAGAGGAAAATAGGGGGATAAGAACTTGTACTAATATATATGTGTTTTTATATTCTTTGAGCTTGGGTGTGATATTCTATTTTAAAAGTAAAGAAAGAAACAAAAAGTAAAATTGCATTTTATATTAAAATATGTACTTTTCTGTACATATATAAAATATACTGAAATACAGTATAATAGCAGTTTGTATCCATTTGTATTTACTTTTTCAGGAAACATTAAAATCTATATAAATTAGCAGAAACCCCAAAAAAGATGATTATAAAGATTTTTTAATAAAAATTTTGTAAGTCTGAGCTCTAATACACACTGTGTCAACCATTACTAAAGAAACTTCTGGCTTTTTGGATAACCTTCTTGAAGAGTTGACTTCTTAAAAGGGTAATAAAGTGAGATGCTGTGCAACTAAAGGTCGAACCTTTAGTTGCATTTTCCTCCTCAGAAAACAGGTTTAAGACAGGGCAGAAGATGGAAAGACAAGTCAAGCATGGAAAGTTCTTTCTCTCCATTGATGGAGACAAAGATCCTTGTCCCCTCAAAAAGCACAAAGAACCCAACTCTCTCCCTTCTCCAGCCCTGCCCTTGGGTTGCCTAGTTGTGGGATACAAAATCTAGCAGTTACATTTAAAAATAGCATTTTCATACTAAATAATGCATCTTTTTTTTTTTTTAAATAATGCATCTTACAAATAAACTCGCCCAATTTTACAAACAAAGTCGCCCAATTTCACCTGGCCCCTGCAGTTCAGCAATCTATCTTATAGGCTCTTAGCTTCCTATCCTGGCCCATCCCCATAAGATAAAGGCCTTTGCTACTACCCTTCAGCTCCCACCCAACCTCTGCAGGTTCTTCTATATTAGCAGGTGTATTTGCTACACAGAGAAAATAGCTCCCAACATTCAAACACTCCTTTTAAACTCACTATCTCAGGCTCTCCAATCTTCCTGAATCTTAACTACCTCTCTCTCACTCTTCCTTTCTAGGACTCACCTATCAGCTTTCCACCACTGCCCTGGACCCTACTCCATTCCTCTTCTCTGGAATCTGCTCTACCTGTTAGTTCCTTTATCTTCAGTCCCTGTTCAACAGTTTGTGTTCTGCACCTATAAACCTTTAAATGCTCAACACACTTCCACCATCCAGCCAACCATCAAAACCTGTACTCATGCTTTTTCTGTCCCTTCAGTGACCAAAATGGCAACTTATACAAACTGCTTCACCTACTCCACCACTTCCACCAACTTCTCAACTCATTATAGCTTATCTCCTCTATGCCCTCTCCACTGGCCCATGCTTTATTGAAACTATTCTAATTAAGATACCAATAACTTTTTATTATAATTTTAAAAGTTCCTTTTCATTTACAGTTATTACAAAACATTGACTATATTCCTCATGTTGTACTATACATCCTTGAGCCTATATTACACCCAATAGTTAAAATAAAAATCTTTTTACATATGGTAATATACATTAGGGGTATACATTAGGGGAGGGTGGTGGGAGGGGGGTTTAGGATGTGAGGACACATGTATATCTGTGGCTGATTCATGTTGATGTATGGAGAAAACCATCACAACATTGTAAAGTAATTATCCTCCAATTAAAATAAATAAACAACAAAAAAAATTTAATTAATAAATAAAGTTGCCTTTCCACAAAAATAAAAACAAAGGCTCATTGAAAGATACTAATGACCTCCTAACTGCCTAAAGAAAAAGGCCACTCCCTCCTCAGTGACTGACACTCTTAGAAATTCTTATCTTTGTGTTAAAAACACTTTAAAGATTTTTCTCTTCCTCTTTTTCCTAAACCTTCCTGATTTTCATTGGCTCTTCTCTGCCTACTTCTTAAATTCCCAAACGATCAATACTTGACATCCTTATTTGATAAGCACTTTCTGGGGCCCACCATCCATTTCCAGATAGGATAGGATACCAGCTATACAATCTCTTGTCCCAAATTTCTTCCTCTCTAGTCACCAACTCTCTCAAAAGCACCAAATTCCTATTTTTAACTTCCACAGGAACATCCACCAGATTGTTCCCAGCAAACAACCCAAACTTTAAACAGGTCCTAAATCACTTTCTTTCCATTGAATTTATTCCTCCTCCCAGGTAACAGCATAACCAGGCAGCCATCTCCCAAGGTAGAATACCTTAGGGTCCTCCTCGAATTCTTTCTCCCTTAAATCCCTACCCCTCATCTATCACCAAATCACATTAATTTTACTTCCTAAACTCTCTTAAATTGAACTCCCCTTCTATACTCCCACTATTATGAAGGTACTCAGGATCTTCTTTGTCTCATCTAGGAACCATTTCAACTCCTCTCTACCACTAACCTCTCCTCACCTATTCTTACTCCATATTACTACCAGGATTATCTTCCTAAAATAAATTCAAGTTTCAAACAGGGTATTAATGTTTTTCTTTGTCAGAATGGCAAAAATTAAAAGGGGAAACAATGTCCTATGCTGATCAGAATGTAGGGAAATGGACATTCTCATAAACTTTGTGGGTGGAGTTAATATTAGGCAAACTATCAAGGCAAATATAACCAGACTTGTAAATATGTGTACCCTTTGATTCATCACTACTACTTCTAGAAATGCATTCTAAGTAATTAAACAGAAAGTGCACAAAGATACAAGTACATCCTAAAGTTCCCATTATTCTCAGAAGAAGCCAAGACCTTTTTTGACATTCTATACCATTTTCCTGGAATGGCTCCCTCTCACCCATGACCTTCGGCATCTTGTTAAACTAGGAACTCATCACTGAGTTCAAAGGTCAGCAACTCCATTCTGTCTCCACATTAATTTAGTCATACCTCTACATCATAGTGTGACCTATCTTTCTCTCCCACTGTAGACTGCAAGCTCTCCAAGAACAATGGTTTTTTGTGTTTTTTTTATTTAGCATATATCCATATTCTTGGGTTTCCCGGGTGATGCAGTGGTAAAGAATCCGCCTGCCAATGCAGGAGACACAAAAGATGCAGGTTTGATCCCTGGGTTGGGAAGATCCCCTGGAGAAGAAATGGCAACCCACTCCAGTAATTTTGCCTGGGAAATCCCATGCACAGAGGAGCCTGGCAGGCTATAGTCTATATTTGCACTATCCACACAAATTTCTGAAACACAGTAGAGGCACAATAAACGTGTTGGCATTTTTCTTCTTTTCACACAAACAATTCTCTGATTTCCAAAATCTTAAGAACTTTTAAAAGTTATTTCCTAAAATGCTGGTGGACTCCAATATGTTCTATTAAATTAATTCTAACAGGTATTCAAGCAAAGCAAACAGTCTGTGAGTCTTGTTTGAATTTAGTTCCTAAAGGCATGGGAATTTCCACACTGAGTCAGAACTGTGGTCTATTCAACTGTGGATTTTATCTCTGACAGAGGCACCAAGAACCATTGTAAGAAGACACAGTTGTCCTCCCAGATGTTAGAGGTGTGTTCCAAAACAGTTACTTTTCTTCCATAATCTAGTATGAGTCTGTCACATTTGAAATCATGTTTTAGAATCATTTGTTTAAATACTATGCCAGAGCTCTTTTCCATGCTGTTATAATAAACAGCATTTTACATACTGTATAAGTACATAAGTATTATGTAAGTAGTACTGTACATCCATATACAAGAATATAAGTAGTTTGATTACACATTTTTCTCCTTTTAAGTTTCAAGAGGGTTCCTAATTCTAATAAAGGCTCATAACAGCCTAATCACATCCTTCATGATTTCATAAAGTTCAGTTCTATTCCTTTCCATCTTTGTCTTTCTAGACGAAAGAAATTTCATCTTTCTATTGTGTCCTTAAAAAGAAATGACTCTATTCTGTATTGTTTCACTTGTCTTAATTTTGAGTTATCTTACAGGGTCCAGACTGAAACAACAATGAAGAAAGGTCAATGAGATTTAATTTAATTTTATAGAAGTCAAGAAAATATCCTCCCAACCTAAGTTAGGAAAGACAACCTTTGAAAACACCTTTGACAATCACCGTACCACAAGACTTACAGGAAATCATAAGGTAGTCCTCACAGTTGCCTTTGTCATCCTCCTGCTGGTCCACAGGGATCCCGTTGGCATCTATGACTGCTTCTGAGGCACAATCTGCTACCAATACTTCTTCTGACACTACATCGGCTGTCAGAGGATCAGTGACAATTTCTGCCTCTACTACGCTATCATGAACAATGTGTTCAACGTGTCCGATGTCAGACACATGTATGGATTCACTCGTCAAGACGTGTTCTGGCATAGACATTGAGGCTGAAGTAATATCAGAAGCTAAGACGTCATCTGGGACTGTGCAATGTGCTAAAGACACTTCTTCTGTTACATCTGAGTCCAGCACTTGCTCAGGAATGATGACTGTTTCAGATACATCTGCTTCTTCCATGATATCTGGACATTGAACATCTTCTATAACAACGTCCTCGATAACATCTTGGATTACAACTGAGTCTGGGTCATCGGGAACAAAGTTATGCACAGTTATGTCTGAATCCACAACATCTGAAACAAAAACAGTTTCTTGTACTTCCACAACAATTTGATCACCATCCATGTGTGTAGCATCAGCTCCTTAAAAAAACAAAAATTAAAATCACAAATTTCAGGTAGACCTGCACGACTACCTCAATTAATACAAATGTTACTTAAGTTCTACCAGGAAAACAGTCTAGAGCTCCTCAGTTGTCTCAAACATTAAGACAGGTTAAAGAAATAGAGGGAATCTACTTTTAAATCATATCAGAAATTCTTAACACAAGAATTTTTATACTCATCCCAAATCAATTGATAAGGAAATAATAGAAAAACAAATTGAGAGTCACACACAAAAAATATATTCATGAAAGTAATTTCCTAGGCTGACTAAGATTAAACCCATATGTATAGGTACTAAAGGGATGATTATAAAAATTAGTAAGTAAAGCAACTTCAGGAGATAAATATACCATTTCCCTCATTATGTTTTTCACTTCTTTCCCTTCTTGCTCCATGTCTCTCTTAACTCATGTTTTTTCTCCTTTTCATCTCTCCCATGTTTTCTTACTTCCCTTCCATTTCTTCCCCTTTCTCCTGTTTTGTTTGAGGACAATATCCCACCAATATCCTCCATTTATGACTATGGAAATTCAGAAACTATCTTCTGAATCTAGAATATAAAAAGGATTGGGCCATAAATAAAACCAGGGCTAGAAGGCCACAGTTCAAGAGGAAAGACAACTGGTTAAGGAGCCTCTGTGAAGAGGTAAGATGAACAGAAGTGTAGCTGCTCTGCAGCAGTGGAGGGCAAGGTTAGTTGGAGCAGGGCCTGATCCAACCTCACCAGGGTGATCTGCCTCCATCCAGCTTCCTCCCATCTTCCCATATCCCAATCCCCCAATTCCTCAGAATATAAGAAACCCTATTCTAGTCCACTCTGCAGTTAACGAATGAAGGTAGAGGGTTGAATCATTTGAAGCCCAGTGAGATTAAATGACTTCACCAAGATCACACAGTTTGCACAGATTATGGTGCTCAGTAAATATTACTCTGAATGAATGCCACAAATGAGAATCAAAATCAGATATCCTTGCCAAAAACATAATGTAAGACAAGACAAATCCAGTATCTTGGCTCCTGATCCAGAGAAAAGCAAACAATATTTTATACAAGTCTTACCTAAAAAGCTATTCAGTCGATTAGTGCTTCTGGATGTGACTCAGACCAAGCTGAGTTCAAGCAGCTGCCTAACTCAATGACTGTTAGCAATGGCCAGGCCCGCAGACACACACAGGACTTTTTAAAAAAATTTTTTAACGAACACAAATAATCAACAAGGGCCAAAGAACCTTTAAAAATGTAAGACATCTTAAAGCCAGTTAATATTCATTTCAATTTTAATTATTCCTAGAAGTAACAAAGTGTTTGCTTTAATTCCCATAGAACTTACACAGAATGTTTTATACTGTTTTCAATATTCTCAACGTAACATCAAGCAATAGAGCACTGTAATCTCCATTTTGCAGGCATGAAGATGAAAGCATTTAGTGGCAAGAGTACTGGTTAAAAAATCTAAACCACAGGGCAAGATTTGGACACTTATTAGTTTTGTGACCTTGGGCAAGTCATTTAACCTCTGAGTTTCGGTTTCCTCATCAGTAAAATGAGGACAGTAGTATCTGCCATGCATACCTCACAGGACTGTTGTGATGATCAAATGGGAATATATGGGAAGTGTTCTGAAAAACTGTAATGAAAGGTTTCATTATTATTAGGACATATGGAAATGGAGGCCCTGGCAGATTAAGTGACTTGCTCAAAGATAAACAAACACCATAAGTGTTAACAATCAGGGCTAAAATGCAACAGCCCTTCAATCGACCCCTCAGCCCATGATCTAGGCTTGCGTGCGGCAAGATCAAGCTAGTCAATAGCGTGCGTTTTTCTCCAAAGAGCTTAAGTCTCTCCTTCAAGCACATTAATTATACTTCATGTTCTAAAGAAGAAAGAATCATAACTTTGCATTTATCATTATCAAGCTGAAATTACCAAAGGTGAATCAAAAGACTATCCCATATTGTTAAGAAAAATACACAAACCCCCATTAGATTTAGAGATTAAAGAAAAGTTAAAATATCATTAATATTTAATTTCCTGATAGTTAATTACTATTTCCTTAATATACTACAATAGTCATTTCAAGTCCAATGGAAAACTCATTAACATTTTATTTATAAGGGTTCCTAGTTAATGTTATATAAAACCATTTTACAAGAGTTAGGGTCATCCCCCGATGCCCCCCATCCCCGCCCCCGCCCCTGAGGAGGGCTATAGGGGAGTTCTACATAATTTTTGGAGGTCTTGTGAGATAAACAAGACCAATAAAAAAAAAGAAAAAAAAAAAAAGAAAAAAAAAAAAACCATTTTACATTACAAAACCTAGCATAATCACTTCACTATGTTATATAATGGGAACCATGAGTAATTACAAATTGTGAATACTTATTTTTCTTCTATTTTTAGAACTTCATAAGTTTAGTTTTCCTTGAACAGTTTGGGGAGTGAGGTAAGACTCCATCTTCCTGAAGCAAATGGTTCCTTTTGTTACCTTGTGAGAGAGAGGATTTTAAAAGTAGGATGGGGTCAGAAAACAGAGTGCCTTAGGTTTATATTTTACCTGCTGGATAATGGGAAACAGAGAAATGACAAGATCCACATGTTATTTTATGATGAGTACTCTGATTACTGGGCTAGGCAAAAGTGACTAGGGAAGGAAAAGAATTTAAAAGTTACTGAAGACTAAGAATGAGATGATAGAGTTGGTCTATGTGGAAGAAAGTAGAATGAAGAGACGTAAGCAAGGAATATCTTCAAAGGAAGAACTTTAATAGAACTTAATGCTATAACTGAACTATACACTAAGGTTTTGATCCTGTTGCTGTTACTGACAAGACTATGAGTGATGGTTAAAAGGGAGCCATATTTTTAGGCAGGGAAATAATAATGTACTCACTTTAACATCTGTAGGTTTGACAGGATAATAAGATACCTAAATGTGAATATCAAAGAGAGCATCTAGCAATTTGTCCACTTGACAACCAACTCCAAATCTGGTAGTTGGGAAGTGGAACAACCCAAATAGTTATACCTGTTGTATCAAAAAATGAGTTTGGTTCTTGCGGTTGTAATTCAAGTCCATCTTCATCCATGGCCTTTAATTTTCATCAGTCACAGCTCCTAAATTAGGGGAGAAAGTAAACCAAGCATTAGGTTTTTTATATCATGTATTAAAAATGTCATCATAATATTTACACTTCTGAAACACTCAAAATTATGTGACAAATGAATATCTATCAAAAATGTATCTAGGTGAAATAAAAGAGAAAAGTTAAAATTAAATTGCCAAAAACATAATGATATATGGGCATCTATATGACAAGCAAAGGTAGATAAATCAAAAAATCAACTTTGCCTAGACTTTCTGAGATACTACTTACATACATCATACATACAGCAAACATCCTGATGAATTCTGACACATGCATAAATCTGTGTAATCACTACTCTACCTAGATCAAGACAGAGAACATTTCCAGCATCCCAGCACTCTTGTCTCCTCTCAGTCTCTAATACTCCTCACTCACACAAGCGCAACTGGCTTTATTAAGACTCAACTCTGTAGCTTACTGGAAGGAAATTCCTGCACAATTTTCTTATTATTTTCTAAATTTAATGTAGTCTGCTATCTTCCAACCAATACATTAAACAACAGTTAAAAATTCAAAATGTGTAATTGTAGCAAACATCCTTTAGGATCTCTGCCTAACTTACAATGACCTCTTAACTAACCCTCCAGTCTAGAGAAGTAAATTCCCACAGTGAATTTATACTCTCCTGGCAGTAGCTGATTGGCACTAACTATAAAACTGTACAAATAAGTTCATTTTTGAGCACAATAAAATCAAAGTCCTATCCCTAGAATTGAAACCATGAGCAAAGGTCACTCAGTCTATCATTCTCTCTCCTCTCCTCATGGCTGGAACATAGGAGGTGAGGAAGACTATTTACCAACTTCAGCTTAGACTAGTGAGATAAAGTTTACAAATAAAAAACAAAAAGAATCCAGTGAATGCCTTGAGAAATAGAGAAGAGGGAGCAGGGAAGGGAAGCTTACCAATAATGGCTTTTTTGGTCCTGGTTCTAGATCTTTCTGAAGTGCAGCTACAGTCTGCCTTGAGTTTTGCAAGCCACCCCAATGACCTTAATGCTCCCTTTTCTACTTAAGCCAAAAATTTACAACAAAAAAATTAACCAATCAAATAATATACTACTTAATACTAATCACTGCTTCAAAAGAGCAGACATCAGGGATTAGGGCTTACTCATGTTACAAGTATTACATAAACTTCCTCCCTCACTGGTTTCCTTATCTCTACTTTCTCACTTTCTAATCCAACCTAAATGGTAGTATTAAACACATCTTTCTTTTACTTTTATCATCTTTTGCTGATGATAAAAGTGCCCCATGATGCTTGCTAAAATTTCAAATAACAGAAACAAGAGTCATTTTTTTTAAAGCATCAGCTAGGTGATATCAGGCCTCGGTTCAAAAAATGTTTAATGGCTCCCTGTTTCCTTCAAATAAAGTTGAAACTCCTGCCATCTAAGTTCCAGCTGCAAATTATCTTTTTCTCATTATCTTCCCTAAGTGTTCCTCCTTCAAGCAACATCCCCGACCACCACATTCACACACTTCAACCAAACAAAAGTGCTCAATATCCACATAAGATCCAAATTCTATACTTGGCTCAGAATTTCTTCTACCAGGAACACCTTTCCCCTATCACCTGTTTGGACCTTCCCTCAAATCCTCTTCCCCACACCCAAGAAAGAAAAAGATGAAAATAATATCCCCCCTCCTCTGAATTTCTACAGCATTTTATCCTTTTTCCCTTTTTCTGACTGTACTTGTTTGCTGTAAATTATTTATGATTATTTTCAGATGCTAAACTTGCATTTACATACACATATATAATCCTTAATGAAATATCCATGAGAAATTCAATTAACATTAATAAACAGATTTTCAGCTTGTCAATTCTGAGACGTATTCTATCCATTTTCAGGAAAGTGAATGTTTCATGTTATTTATTTGAAGTTGTTCAAATTAAACGAACCAAAACCAAAAATATTTCAACTATAAAAAAATGTAAAAAAGAAAAAAAAAGTAAAACATAAATGCTCTGAATAAATTGTCACTGCTCCCCACAAAATCACCTCAGGCCATAGTCCATTTTCCCCTTTTAAAAATGTAACTACAAAATTATAAATGTAAGCTAATTTTCTAAGCATAATGACATAGTCTTAAAACATGAAATTAAGCCAATTTAGAAGGTAATAAATGGGGTTCCTTAAGGTATTAAGGTTCCTCTCCCCAATTTCCCTACATAAACCCAAACCCATCTGCTCTAAGAATTTTCCACCTGCACAGTAACTCCTTTTCTCAGCTTTTCTATTAAGAGTTTGACAGCTAATCCCCTCAACTCTGACATTATCTCCTTCCTCAGTTTAAGTGACACTCTCGTCTCTCCCCATCTTCCCAGCTTCTGTCTACTCTGCTTGCCCTCTCCCCTTACTGCAGTCCTGCCCAGGATAGGACACTTAGCCCTAGTCTCTTCTTTCTCTTTATTCCAGAGTTTCAATTATGATTTACACAAAGATAATTCCCCAAATCCAATACTCAGGGTAGTTCCTAACACTTCCACCAGGCTGTCTGCTGAAGATTTTCATCAGGAGAAAATCCTGCTTTCTCCCGATATGACCACTAAGGCCTTTTCCTTCTTCCCTGCTTATATTCCACCAGGTTGTCAGACTGTGTCCCTTCTTTCTCCACAGGTTCCCTGGAATCTGTCCCTTTTTATTCCTAGTGTCACCATTCACTCTCGGTTTCATATTTCCTGATCCCCAAGGGACAAAAATAGCCTCTCAACTGGCCTTTCGCTTTCTGCCACTCCCACAACAAATGACCAGGAACCTACAAGTAAGGGCTGGTGCCAACTGCCAGGGCATTCCTGCGATCTGTGGGCAGACTAATTTTCAGAAGTACTGTTTTGTACTTTCAAAGCACTCACTGCTCAGAAAGCTCCAGCAGTTCCCCAAAACTCAGGGTGCTCTAAAATATTAACCCAAGTTACCATATTAGACTTATTTGCTATTATTCCCAACATTTCACATCATATCCATTTCCTCAGATACTCTGGTCTAAATGGAGGGTGTCCACTCACCTTATTTTGACTCAGGTAAGCAGTAACTGTTCAACAGTTTTGACTGGTTATTTTTCCTTCTATTTTGTCATTATAAAAACTCAAAACAGGAAAAAACATGTTTTGAACATCCAGGCAGAGGTGACTGCACTTCAACTTTGTAACCCCTTTGGGTTAGAAACCTCTCTGATAATCAAACTGAAACCAATGTTCTTAGAATGGGACTACTCAGGAAAGTTCTATGGACTGTGACAAAGTCGGGGTGGTAGGGGGCGCACACTGATGATGTAACTGAAAGTGCCCCTACCTTTGCTGCAAGAACCATGTCCAGGGACCAGCTGAATCTGAAGACAAATCAGCAGAATGGTTCAGAGAACCAAGAACCCAACGATTTGGGTGAACACATAGTTTTAGTCTATCAAATGCCCTCAAAATAATTCCAGGACCCCATTGTTACCTTAAGCTCAGTAAAATATTCCCTTCCTGGATGCATGATCTTAAAAATGCTATGGAAGAATTCACAGCAGAAAAACGTACAATTTTAAGAGAAATAATGAGTTGACTTAAACTCAGGAAATTAAAATAACTTTCTCCCATCCTTTAAAATAAAGCAATAAAAATACCATGCCAAGTTAATAAGTATAGCAGTGGCATTTTATCTGTCTTAAATTAGGGATAAAGAATATAATTTATTTGTTTTATATCTTTTGATACCTAGACACTTTCACAATCTTCCTCTGAGGCAAATGAACAGGGTACTTATGTATTCACTCTGCTTTTTGTCATAAGCATACAAGAATCACTTGTCTGCTTCTGGGCTTCCTGAAACTCCGTGCCTTTTAATTTTATGATGTAACTCTAGTTCCTCTCCCTAAGACATGCTCAGAGACTCAAATGTTAGATGAAACTATACATGTTAGATGAAACTGCTCAAGTTACAGGAAACACAAACAAAAGGAGACCCATCTGTAACAGAATTTTTCTTAAAAAGAAAATGAAACTGCTTAAAATTTACATTTAAAGCCTAATATGTTCTCTCTTAAGCTACGTTTCTTTACCAATTTTTTCCCACATTCTTCAATGTGGGATATGTAGCTATCATTTCTTCAGATATCTAACTTTCAAATCTGGAATGCTATTTCACTTCTCTCACCAATTCAGCCCTTAAATTTCTCTCACAGCCAGTCACTCTTAAATTCTTCAAATCCCCTTTATTTTCACCACTATCACTCTAACAAGCTCTGGCAGACTTCCTCCAGAACCCAGTGGCAATCTTCCAATCAAAAGTTTGAGCCCTTTTTGAAGTGAAGAAATTTTCTTCTGTTTCTACACTTTCTTCCATTTTCTCTGTTCATTCTTACTAGAATTTCTATTATAGAATGTTAGAACTCCTAAATCTAGCCTCCACATTGCTTTAACCTTTTCTCCTGTATTTTCTATCCTTTTCTATTACATTCTCAGAATCCTTAAGCCCTTTCTCCTAACCTAGCTATCTGATCTTCACCCCATCCATTGATTTTTACTTAAAATATCATGTTTTGGGATTTCTCTGGCAGTCCAGAGGCTAGGACTGTGCTTTCAGTGCAGGGGGCATGAGTTCAATCCCTGGTCAGGGAACTAATATTCAGCATGCCAAGTAGCATGGCCAAAAAGCTTTTTAAAAAATGTTTTAATTTCAAAATAAACTTAGTTTTCTTTTACACAGTAACCTTTTTTCAGTGGATACTGCATCTTCTCAAATATCTCTGAGGATTTATTCTGTACTCTATATTAAACTGTCTCCTCTGCTGTTTCATTATTCAGTGGGTTGAATTTCGTGCCTCTCTTTCAGACTGATGGTATTCCTCAAAAGCATTGTTCTTACAGGTTCTCCACATATATTTGTGGATAAGGGTCTAGACTAGAGTTACATTCTGATAGCTGAGCTGTATTCTGTATTTTCTCAG